TATAAATAACAGGAAATGTTAAAAAAAAAAAAAAGAAACCCAAGGCCCCCCCCAAAAAACAACAAAAAAAACCCCCAACCAACCAACCAACCAAAACTGTGAGGTAAACGTGAAATGTCTAGGATATATACATGTACCAAACTGTTTTTATCAAAGAATCATAGAATCACAGAATGGTTTGGTTTGGAAGGGACCTTTAAAGATCATCTAGTCCAACCCCCCTGCAATAAGCAGGGACATCTTCAACTAGATCCCTTATTATAATGTGTGTACATGATTTCCTTGAAAAGTTTTTTCATATGTCTTACAAAAGGTATGAAACAAAAAAAGAGAATGTTACTATAATTTACTCAAAGGCCATACCAAGTAAGTCTTCAACCCTCTACTGAATAAGTTTTTTGTGCACTTATACACAATAATTCATACCTGCCTGCTCGTGCTGTTATTACCATTACCTAGTATTGTTTTGTATTGTAGTTAGCACCCAAAATGTGCTAATCACATACCAGAAAAAAAATCTACCGATGCAGAGAGCTTACCTTTTGTTAACAGCAAGGGTCAAGAAATGAGAACTACAGTGAAAGTTGCAATGCAGAAAAATGCAGAAAGTGGCAGAAAAATGCTGGAATTTTATGTACTCTGTATTACAAAAGTAACAGATTTTTGTACGAAATCGCTGTTGATGTCAGGGTTCTTGATTAGGAGAAAGACTTCTCAAACAAGCCCAGCACTTTTTTTTCTTTCTTTTTTTGTTCCCTTCTCTTAAACCTAGTTTCATTTGCTATGTCTGGTCATACTGCTATCCAAGCACACTCTGCAGAGATGGAGCAGCTCTGTATGTTGAGACAGTCCTGCATGATTGTCATCTAACCACCAGCATGTCCCCAGCAGTTGACCAGTCCCAGGGCTGTACTCAGCTGCTCCAGTCCTCCTATTATGGTGAAAATCTCTCTTCACCTATTTTCAGTTCTGCAATCTTCGGTCTTCTCTTTTTGCATGACTTGAAAAATGCAGGAGCAGCTGTGTCTGCCAACGTTCCATGTGGAATAGCAATTTCCTATGGTGGAAAAATATGCTCTGCACAGTAATTACTGTAAGTCAAGTCCATTTAATCTGCACAAGGGCTTTTATTGTCTTCTGCAGTTTGGGAGGATTTGGGAGGCCTAGTCTCCAAAGTTTGTAGGATAGCAACCTTATAGAAGTTAGAGGTGTGACACATGTTAGATTACTGCATACATTAGGGTTTTGGCATCATAGGCACACAGACATAAAGATGGAATATAGACTGCAGTTCCTCATGAATAAGTCTAGCTGAGAGGTAGACATGGGATAATCATTATATAGCTTTCCTATTTCCTTGTGTTAACTTTATCCTACATACTTTCTTGACCCTCTAAGCATTCCTCCCTCCCCCCGCCCCCCTTGTGGTTTGTACAGAAGTGCACAAGATTGCAGCAAGTGCCCTTTTTTCACCGTTTCCCATCTTTCACCTGACACAGAAAAAGGGAGACTTTAAATGGTTTTCTATGAAGAGACCCACACCATGGCTTTAAAATTACAGTTTGATCTGTAAACTCTATCAAATCATGAGCTCAGTCTAACTTTTCCTTTCTCTCCCTTTCAGTTTTCAGTCAACTAGTCACTTCTCTTCATCTCCAAAAGTGGATGGTGGTTGTTCTTGTACTGTTGCAGCCACTGCTATTGTTTCAGGATTTAATTTAGCAGAGGAAAGGAGCCTGTGTGCTTGGGCACCTGTAAAAACACCTACCATAAAACTATAGAATTGTATACATTTTAATTTAAAAAATTTGCTCTTTAACATTATTAATAGGAGGCTCCCCTAATTGACTAAGGTAAACTTTGGACATTTCTTTATTACTTTCCTTTTCTCCAGTTTTGTTTACATGTTTACATGAGCTGAAATCTCCATGTGTGGATTTTAGTTATTTCAATCTTGCCATAATTTTCCCAACTGTGGTTTGATTTTTCGCAGAGATCCTAGTGGTCCCTAGACCAACAGTTTGAAAAACACTGCTTGGAAAATATTTAGTCTTCAGTTCTTGTTTTGGTCTTTTTATGGAGTTAGAGAATTGATGGGTCCAAGTTCATCGACTTAATTTTGGGGGGAACAGGACTATTTCCTGTTAAAAATGTTGCCTGATGCAACTCAAAGTAGGGCATATCGGCTCTGGGGACAATGTATTTGTACAAAAATCAGCAAAATGCTTAAATTTGTTTCAAAATCCTCCACTGTTGCCCAGCTTGTGATTTTCTGCCTGACAGAGGGATGTAAATCCAGCTTGCGGAATCTGTGAAACCCTTATGTATTCAGGTGAGATCCAGATATGCTGACTGTAGATCTTTATCTTTAGTTCACACTTGGCCTGCGTCATTACTTCCCAAGTCCCTGTGGCTGCCCAGTCCCGTTTCATAAGAGCATTTCACCTGCTCAGTTTTTGTTCTTTCCTTGTAGCCAATCCTATGGAATCAAAAAACTCTAGGTCAGGAATCCTAGGGAGTGCTCTTCATATTTCCCTTTTGATTTCATACAAAGGGACATAAACAGATTAATGTCGTCCGTAAGGTCAAATCATGAACTCCCAGTAAAGCAGTAAAACATGCCATGTTGAGCTCTCAATGATCAAAATTACAATAATAACTCTAGATAAGGTGTTCCTGCTGTGAAGGAAGCAGGAAAACTTCTTTGGAGTCTTTTATCTCTAGGCATGCATTAATTTGTATGTTGTCTGAAATGTATCTTCCAGCTATTACTTTAAAACACCCAGTGAATTAGCAAATCTTCATTTCTGCTTTAGTGATTCCTTAGAAAGAATCTCCAACTGGTCTACTATAGTTCTCTGGATAAGGACCTTTCGTACCAGAGGAGACTACTTCTTGACCAAAAAAGTTACTCTGCCACATGACCAATGTGGATATTACCTGCTCAGATCCAATTTTTAAAAGCATGTATTTGTTTAAACAATTTGAAGTTGATCCCGAAGAAGATTTTGTATCTAGAACTTATTGTTTAATTTATTATTTACTTAATGTCTCCTTCCTACAGTAGGGTAATATGAGTTGCTCAAAATGGTCTTGCAGCATGTTTGAATAAATGTTACTGTTACTCCAAACAGACTTTTTAAAGCTCAAAACAAGCCCATGTTTCACTTACAAATATCCACGAATTATCCACAATGCATCTGTTCAGCATACCAGTCTTTGTATTTCCCTTAAAAAGAAAAGAAAACGCTAGAAATAAAGGCAATTGCTTATGTAAGCAATTTTGAAGTTAAATGTTGTCTTAGAAGTACTGTAGATGGAAAACAGTTGCTTGGTACTGCATGATTAGTCCAGTGAGGTTAATTAGTGAGCTGTTCAGGTTTTGCAGGAGCCAAGAAGCAATGAGAGGTAATCCAAAGTCTGGATTGAATTATTTTGTCTCTTGTAGGGACTTGCAAATGGAGTTTACAAATTTCCAACCGTGCAGAGAGTGGTATGGTTTTTTTCTTTAGAAAGTTGCTGTTTGGAAACAATTTCAGCAATACCTTACAATGCTATGTTATAGTCATGAGCTACCAAGTTATCATTGGTAAGTGATCCTTCACAAGTCAAGAGCTGGATGTTCAGTTGCCCGCTTCTGGGATTCTCATTTTGCTCTGTGTTTAATCTCTAAGTTAGGGCCCGTCTTCCAGGCCTACAGTCCTTTTGAATTGTGTCCTATGGATCTCTCTCACTGATGAAAAAAGGCTCTGTGTTAAGAAATTCACCATGTATGCACTCAAAGCGTATGAAAAGTCTCTCTGTAGGTGGCATGTGTGGGACAGATTGCTGCTTATAGCTCATGGGGAAGGCGTGAAGAGGGTGCTGTTGACTGTATACATGCTATACTCCTCAGGGTGCTTTGGCATGGAGGGCGTGCAGGTCCTACGGGGAGGCACTGAGCTGTTGCTGAGCAGTGAGAAATTCCCAGGTGCTGCCAGCCTGGAACCAGGAGAGCTGAGAAGCGGCTTGCTGGGATAGTGTGTGCTGGGAGGAAGGAAATACAGAATCTGTTCCTAGCTTTGCCCTTGATATAAGATCTTAGCTGTGTCCAGTGTCCACCCTTGTAACTCCTTCTCCTGCCTCATCTGTCTGGTGTCTTCTGTGTAACATTTTTAGGTTTGCAACTATCTTGCAATAGCTGTTTACCTAGAGCTTCTAATTGAAAGTATAAGTTTCAGCTGAGCTGCAGAGTTAGAAACCACCTTGTCTTGCCTGTCCATCAAGTATTGAGGGTTGGGAGAGTCTTAAGCAGAGGAGCCTGGATTGGATTTTTTTCTTCAATCTTGTTCCGTTTTCATAGTGCTGTGTTTGGTTCCCAACACAGCTGGGATGAAAAGAGATCATGAGATAACTACAGTACAGGCTGGTGTTGTGCGACATTACTATGAAAAGATAAGAAAGAGATGCTGCACAGTATCTTTTCAGTACTTCATATATTTACTATTAACATATATTCAAGCAATTGGATCTTTGCCTTGGCTGAGCTCCTGTCCTGGAAGACATGCCCTGTGTTTCACCACTGGCCCTGTCTGTCACTGCTGGTGGGCCTGAGAAGCATTGAATTGGGGGTTTGTGTTCTTATGAATGAAAAATGTGCAAATAAATAGCTCAATCTCTGCTTATGAGATTGCTTCTGATCTCACCTGAACTGCTCCCTTTGCCAGAACTGAAACTGCATGTGTGAGAGGAGACAGACTTAAACCAGTGGTGCATTAAATCGAACATTAATAGTACGTGTGTAAAGAATTATCAAAAGGACTGGTAAATTATGTGTTCAGAGAGGCCTTATACAGTTAGGACAAGGAATTTCTCAGTGTTTTCAGAGCAAGAAATGAGGCCTTTTTGTTCTTCTCCAGGAGGTGAGTAGCACCAAGGTGTGTGTTGGCAGTTGACTTGCTCCAGACTCTGAAACAATGCTTGGTTTGCAAAATTTTAATCTCTTCTATTTTATTCCTCAGTTATGAATTCCACGTGAAACCTAGAAACCCTCTTGGTGAAGGTCCAAGTAGCAATGTTGTGGCATTCAATACTGAATCAGGTAAGAACTTCCAAAGGTCCGACCATCATTTACAGTAGCTCTAGCATCCATGTTTGTGGGATATATGAAAGGCTGTCTTGCTTCATTTTGCGCATTTGGTCTTGCTCTTTACTGTCTCCAGATTGGCTTTTTATTACTGAGCATGTTACAGTAGTGCGTGGAAGATCTGCCTGAGATCAGGGCTGTATCGTGTGAGGATGTAAGGTGGCCAGATGGCAGGAGGAAAAAACAGGAGCACAGAGAGTTTGTCTGGTGTTCATTATGAAGAAATTAACTTCATCCTTAGAGAAGGCTTAGTCATTTAAGATTAATATTCCTGACCTTTTTGTGTCTATCAAAGTCATTAATGACTTCTGGATGGGGAACATAAGGTTTTTCTTTGGGCTGATGTGTTTATAGGCACTTTTGCTACCTGTTCAATAAGGCTGCTGTATAATAATGATGTCTTTTGGCTGAAATAAGCATTGAGAAATAGCAGTTGGGAAAAGTCAATGTCCCAGCATGTCCTCTTCCATCCTGTTTACTCTCCTGTGAAACTTAGAGGTGTATACAAGCCTATTTTGACCATTGGTTGGTTCCCAAGTAAAGTCCTATCTGACTCAGAAGTGAGAATCAGAGAGTGCCTTTGCTTTCCCTATTGCAGTTCCCCATGAGGCTAACTGTAGTTGACTTGTTGACTTCATACAAGCAAGATACCATCTTTTGTGTAGAAGTGTTTATTGCTGATAGTACTTAAGGACCCTATAAAACACAAAATGGATTTAGCCTTTTTAAAAGGACGTTTTCAATCTGCGTTTTGAGCCAGGTCTAATAATATCGTAATCCTCATCTAGTGCTGTCACTGATGGATGAGAGTTTTGGCCGAGCAAGGGATTAGTCAGGGAGGAGTTCAGACTATGCCACACATATTTAAAAACTGTGAATACACTCTTTGTAATCCTAGATTGTTAAAACTGAAAAAATGTTTATGCCAAGTGCAGTTTTCATGAATGACAAAGCTTATGTTCTATCTCCTATTTAGCTTGGACACATTAAGCGGTCAGTTTTATTTTTTCTTAATTGCACACCTCCATTTCTTGCTTTTGGGCTTTCATAGCCAAGTTTTGTGTGGCAGGTATCACAGAGGGGTCCTTTTTATTATTTAAGTTTTGAAATTGAAATTTTAAAAAAGATGAAGTGGAATTGGTTTTTGCTGATTACAGGTTTAAACTCTTGTTTTTACTAGAACTGTGTTTGACTGGTATTGTCCCATAAGTAAAATTTTTAAAAGCTCGTTGATACTATAGTTTTACGTAAGCAATATATTTCTTTTCTTTTAATTTAATACAGAAGCGAACATTGCTTCCAAAACTCTTTCTGTTTCACAAATTACAGCTTATGTCAGCTGTAGAAAATCACTTACCAATGCTTTTCCATTGAAATATTGGGAAAGTTCATTTTACAGTGTCTGATTGAATGTTTGTTTTCTTCCCCCAGCGGACCCAAGAGTGAGTGAGCCAATTTCAGGTAAGCCTTTTATGTATAGTACAGTGTCTTCTGATCAGGATTTTTTTCAGAAATGAGATGGCATAATTTTACAAGGTGGGGGGGTGGCTGTACTGCACCAATTAAATGAGTTATGGAATCACAGCGTTCACACACGATTTCACTCCTTCCATCCATACCCCTGGTAGGGAATTCATGCCAGGCTGATTGTTTACCTGAGCGGAATGCAATCAACGTGATGTGGTGCTCCCATGGCAGCTGGGATGGCTTCAAACCAATGTACACAAATGAGCCAAGGACAGCCTCATATTTTCTCAGCCTTGTCATTAAAGCGAAAGAAAGCTCTGTAAAATGAATAAGCTACTCCACACTTCTTAAGTGAGTTAACAGAGCACAACTCAGAGGATACTATTTATCCGCCATTGTGTTTTAGAAAAATTTTCTGCTTCTGAAGGCTTGATCCTGCTCTGCTTTAGGCCACTTACAAGACTCTTGCTTGGGAGGTGGACTGAGCTTCTGAAGAACAGCTGGGCTCGCTCAAGCAAATTGGGCTGCTTTTTGCATTTGTAATGGACATCACTTTGACAAACACTGAGACACCATTTCTTTCCACATAATTCATGACACTTAATTTTCATGTGTATTTTTGTTAAATCACATACAGTTTGCTGCAGACTGTCCTGGCTTGAACCCACTGAAAAACAGTGACTGTATCACACGCTTTGTAAATGAGAGTTTTGCCAACACGCAGACATTGTCCCCCTAACAAGGTCCTAGAATGAGCTCATTCCAAACTGGCACCACACACAGAGAGTAGAAGCAGTTCACTCTATCAATCATATCTGCACCCTTTGGTGCTTCCCTGAAATATCTTTCCTGTTCAAAATGCAGGTGACTGGTGCCATGGTACGTTCTGCTCCATCAAGGTTTCTAATTCTATTTATTTGAACATACTTGTTGCCCATAATTCTGTATGCAGCATCATACTTCAGCCTCTTTCTTCCTCTCCTGCAGTGGGAAAGGATGCTATCTGGACTGAAATCCCATTCAATTCAGACACCTATTCAGAATGCAAAGGGAAACAATACGTAAAAAGGACTTGGTATAAGAAGTTCGTAGGTGTGCAGCTGTGTAATTCGTTGAGATACAAGATATACCTCAGTGATTCACTTACAGGTAAGAGACATTCAAATCAGTGTTGTCCACATTATACACTCCTAAAGATAACATGGTTCCAGAACCAAGAGGTTTAACAAGACGAGCTCTGCTGAAGTGTGATCAGGTATATTTAATCTAGTCCATAGACAGATTAATCATAAACAGTAATCTGCTTGTGCTCAGTAATCATTAATGTGTTTGATACTGAATTTTCAGACTCGAGTTACTCCTCTGTGGTGATCATCTGATTTTAAATATCTGTTAGTATCCTGGGGGTCATACAGAAAATTGTTAAAGATCAGGTCTCTGCCAGTGAATGGCATATATTGTGAAGATGCCAAATTTGTATTTAAAGGGCAGCCTGGAATAGTTCTTAATTAGAGGATTAGGACCTAATTTTAGACCAGGATTAGACTCAGTCATTCCCATCCCATTTGGTAAACAGCTGGTTACTTCATTACTGTGAGGCTTATAAATACGTGACTTCAACTCTAGTCAACAGGTTTTACTCACCTGCTTTGGCATTTTTATTTTGTTTTCAAATTACTCATTTTTGCTTATAATCTCTTTTTCCTCCCCTTCTTTTTCTTATATTATGTTTTATTACTAACAGCAGCCTCCTGGCCTTATCTTCTCAAGTTTTGTTCAGTCTTAAGGTCACTAGAGTGTGATGTATTTAAGACCTGAATCAAGTGACACATGCTGTGTGTAAGCTGGGGAAACAGCCTGTAAAAGGTGTTTTTCAGTTAGTTGATAGTTAAGCAGAACTTTGTGTCTCCGGTAGATTGTACAAGCTATATTTAGAAACATGTTTATTTCTTATAATCTGTCCCAAGCTCCTGGCTTTCTTCTGTATGACGTCTTTTATCAGAGCTGCACGGTCAACTCTATTACAATGGTATTAGTATGGCATCCAGAGCACAGAGTGTAACACAACTGTGTATGGGAAATGTCTTTTGAGTGCAAGTTAGGCAGTACGTTCATCACGTTGGGTTGAATTAACTAGGAGAAACTGTGGCTGAAAGAACCAACTTTCATAACCCAAAGATGCCCCATCTCAGAGCTCAACACGTCACAGGAGCAGCAGGGCTCTGGTCTCTCTGTATGTAGGAACATGGAAAGAAAAGAGTAGGGGAGTGTAGGGCAGCCCATGCTGATATAATTTTAAGCTGCCCGGCCTTACACCCAGCAGCATTCTCCCATGAGCAGACAAGGAAGGAAAGCCCTGTCGTTAATAGTAAGTACAATACTTCATACGTAAATAATATCTTGGCAATTACGTGAATAAAAGAGACTGTTTTGAACAGAGGTATCATTCATTCAACTGTTGCTGTACTAACCAGCTGTGATCAAATGACAAACACTGGCAATGAGGCATAGTGTATCACAAAACCAGCCAGTCGAGGAAATAGCAGTGCTAATCTAGCAGGACTAGACTTCAGCCCTAAATCAAGTGAATTAAGAGTGCAGTGAAAGCTACTTCAATCTGAGTAGAAAAGTTTAATATATCAGGAGCCCATTTTCCTATTTTCATTAGATTGTTTTTGTTCTTGTTGGAAGGGCCCTGATTTAACTTCGCTGCAGAAAGATGATGGTAGCCACATTGTATTCATTATACTTGCTAAGCCTGGTTCTTGCACTTGAATTGTTACACCCAGTGCTGACCAGTTGTCACAATATTTGAAAGAACTGAAATACTTATGTAGAAGGAAAGCTGCTTTTCCCCCGTTTTCCTAAGTGAGACTGCCATGGCACAGGCCTCTATATGCGAGTGAGAAAGTTTCCAAATCAAAGTCAAATTGTGCTCTGATGTGTTTCACTGTCACACCTCGTCTCATCGTGCCCCCGAGGCCAGCGGAAGTGTATCTGCTAGCACCAGCCAGCTGGGCAACGTGTGCCAGTAGCGAAGGGCTGCGCTGAGGTCTGAGTCCCACCTTACGCGGAAAATATCTTCCAAAACTTTGCTGTTTAAGCAGCGTAATGATCTTGAAATTTGGGTGCATTGTACAAATGCTGTTGTATAAGGTAGCCAACAACCATATCTTTACATGCTGGTTTTTAGCATGAATTTATACTTCTAGTGTTGCAGAATTCACAATGTATAAAACAAAGATGGTATCTAACTTTCTTAAGACCACCCATATGGGAACACTGGAAACAAAAAATAACTTACTTTATGCTAGAATTGCTATCCCCAAAAGAGAAAGATTAATCTAGTCATTTGTTCGCTGAATGTTTTTAAGTGTGTTCCTTTATTATGAAACAAATTGGGCAGTAAGAATTTAATAGTCACTGAGAATGCTGCTAATTTATGTATAGCAATTGTTTGAATTATGCATAGGTTACACTGTGGGCCAGAAGAATATGTATGTATCTGAAAGTTACTGTTCTTGTGTTAGCCATAAAAATATCTGCTTTAGTCTGTCTCTCATGAAGAAAAACTGATCTATGTTACACATGCCAGGACTGTTCTATAAACCAGCATCTACTGCTGACCTCATTTAACAGTCCTCCAGAGCAGTCACTGTAGGCATTCCAGAAAAGCAGGCCACCTAAAAAAAAGTATTTATTGAGGGGAGGAAAAAAAAAAATTCTAAGTGTGACCTTCAACAGCCATGGAAAAAAAAATGCCGTTTTGGGCAGCCTGAATGTTCTTAATTTCAGACCAAAAAATGGCTGAGAGGAACTCCCTCTGACCAGTTCTCCTATGGAAAAAACATGCCTGCAGCCAAAACTAGATAGTAATAAATAATTTTCTAAAGCTAGAGAAGAACTGTATGCACAGAGACCGTCAATTGGAGGTGAGAATTTCTGGCAAAGTATTGATCAGATGACAAAAATATGAGACAGTTTATTGGTAGGCTGCTCTTTTATTAATTGCACTTTAGGGAACAGTATTATAAGCCACCTCACCATCTCTCAAATGGCCAGACTGGCACAGATTCAAGGCTACAGGACACCCAACATCTAATGAGTAACTGGACGTTTGGCTTAGCTTATACCCGAGTACTGAGCCTATTTCGAAATGCTCTCACCTTTCCTTTCAACCTCACAACCAAAGGTTGAACATATTAAGAACAAGTGCTGTGAAAGGAGTTTAGAAAAAAAATGGTGAGTTTATCTGAAAATGTTTCCTGCCAAGGCTTGGGGAGAGAATGTAGCATGCTTTCCTCCATCTTCTGAACTGAATTTTCCTAATGTCTTGCAATTCAAATCAGTTAAGTAAAAACATCTCTGTCAAAACTCCTTCACTGTGAGTCCTCTTGTTAAACAGGATAAGCACAGCCCGTACCGTCAGCACACGCTGCGTGGGGCACTTGAGACCTTGTTTTCTACTCCGTTGCAGTCAAGTGTCCTGTTAAGCAATCCTGCAAATAAATACATGGGCATACTTCACGCTCTGGATAAGCAGTTACTATACCGAGGTCATCTGTTTGTTAAAGGATATCACTTGCACATACATGTTGTAAAAATATGATGATTTATATAACAGGCCTTGGCTGTGTTATGAGGTGGTCTATAAAAACCATCTTTGAAGGTACTGGAGGCTTCCTGACAGGGAACTAAACCTCCCTTCTATTCAAATCACCAATAAAACTTACCTCATTTTTGATACAGTCAGGATGAGGTTCTAGGTAATAACAGAATTTCACTTACTGTATGAAATGTAGGGAGGAGAAAAATTACATTCAGGCATAGATTTTGGCCAGGAATGGGGCACTTTTGTCTACAGCCATGAGCACTGTACTTAGAGTATGCACATAATGTTCAAATTACAGCTATAGATCCTGAGAGGAAAAGAATCGTAGCATTCACCTTGGCTTCCCCACAGAGCGAAGAGCACAGCCCATTGCCTCTGGTAGTTTTTGGAAATAGCCCTCACTAAACTGGGTACGGATTTTCAACTTTGCTGCTTCTTTGCTTTCAGGAAAATTTTATAACATAGGAGACCAGAGGGGCCATGGAGAAGATCACTGCCAATTTGTAGACTCCTTCTTAGATGGAAGGACAGGGCAGCAAGAAGATCTACCAGTCAAAGATGGTAATTCCTTACGCCCGTTTCTGTAGCAAACCTTGGCAATTCCTTTGTCTGTTTCTTTTTCCTGCCAGTGGATTCAGTGCCTGCTGCTGGGGTGGGTGATGGAAAGGGACTACCTACCAGCTTTGCAGGCAGAAGAGAGTCGAGAAGTTTTTGAAGATGAACAATGTCTTATTAAAAGGTTATGACTTGGGTTCTATTAGGTAGTAAACAGCCTCTCTCCTGTTTAAAACATTCCAATAGATTATTCACAGTTGGTATTACATACTTAAACCCAGCCACAAATTTGAGTTTGCAGAGAGGCATGAAGTGTTATGTTCAAACTAGCAAGGTTGATTTAAAGTGCAGTAAATCATCAGTTAGGCATTAAACAGCTTTGTTTAGTGCTAATGAGAAACTAAAAAGTTATTACTGGAAAATACAATTCATGCTGCAGTAATTCTGTGTGCACTAATTTGAACCGGGTGCCTAGAATTCCAGTCTGGTCTAAGTGGGCATGGGACTGGATGTCCCGAACACAGCTGTGACCTGCCTGGCTGTTTTTCACATCTTGCTGAGGCTCAAGCATAAGAAAACTGTACTTCTGTCAGCTGAACTCCTGCCTTGCTTGTTTGCAGCAGTGCCAGGGTCAGGTATTCCATTCCCTTGTGGGGTAAGACCGCAGGCTGTATTGATACACGCATGCATGCCGAGTGTGTCATGGAATATTTTACTGAGGAGAATATCAAAATGGTTTTCGGTACAATGTCAGTGTGTTGACCAAACCTTCCTGTATGTAGTGCGTCATTTATAAAACACCTCACAGAAGTACAGAAATGTGTCAAGGTAGGTGTGGGAGATTAAAGTGAAGTGCCTAAATCTTTCACAAGTTTTTCCAAAAACAGAGTAGGTGAACGATCTGAAAGGTGTTTGTGTATGTGATTTGGTTTTTGTTTGGTTTTTTTTTTTAAAAGAGGGCTTTGCTTTTCCTTTCCCAGTCAGTGTTGCCCATTTGTAGAGGTATTTTGTTTGTGTAAGGGCTTGTCTGAATCCAATTTCGTGTTGCCAGGACAGCAGACCTCTCAGTTGTACCGGATTCACTTTTTTTAAAAAAAGATTTTATAAATAAAAAAACGCTTTTACCTAAAAAGCTTGCTACCCTAGCTTAAAAGACATTTAAAACCCTTTTTTTTCAGCAACTGGATTTAATTGAGTGGATTCATGAGTTACATTCATTTTTAGAAAAAAAAACAGAAACAAAAAAAAAACCCAACAAAACAAACAAACAAGCAAAAAAAGCCCCCACCTTTTCTGTAGCTTGTATTTGTAGTAAATGAACTGAACAGAGGAAAGAAGAGACAGATTGTCCATTGCTGCTCAGTTCCTCCCTGGCTGCACCAAGCTGAGTTCTGTTCAAACCAGAATTAACTACATACATTTGACCTGAAGCGCAGGGAGGGAATCATGACTGCTGCAGCGTATTAGTTGCAGAACAATATTCTGTGTGTGTGCGCGCGCGTGTGCACACGTGCATTTGCATATCTGTGTGTGCAGACATGCATGTTTTAGCCACACATACATTTCTGACGACCAGGTTGGATTCAGCACTTACTGCTCACTTCAATTTCTAACTTAACATTAATTGTTTGAAGGGAAAGCATGCGTATTGTCATACAGAACAGCCTGAAAGCAGGAGCTATGATCTTTGGCTTGGGGATAGGGAGATAGTGTGACATATCCCCAACTGTCAAGTTTTATTTAGGTTCACTGCAGTGTTAAGGCTACTGCAGTGGAGACTTACTTAATCATCACAACTTTGCAAGGCAGAACCGCCTGCTGTTCAGAGAAGACCCCCCCGCAGCAGCCAGAGGGGGGGAAGGCCAGGGCACTGGCCTCACCTTGCCGGCACCATTGGGTGCCAGGATCACCAGGTCTCTAGGGCAGGGAGGCTTCACCTCTCCTGCTCTGGGCTGCGGCAATCCCAAGCGCTTCCACTTTTGAGTTGGGTGGACAAATGCCAGCTGTTCCAGAGCACTCATCAATGGAGGGGCAGCAGACCTGTTTGTGGCAGATGGGTTAATGGCTTAGTGACTAGTTTAGCCATTAACTGAATTGTATACAGACTTCCCGGGGAACTCAAAGGAAGGTAATGTCAGAGGGCTTTCTGCAAATAATACTCTTTTCCCTGTTCCAGGATTTTTCAGGGCAGTTCGTCAGGAACCTGTCAAATTTGGAAAAATAGGCGGAGAGACTCACATTAACTATGTTCGCTGGTACGAGTGTGGAACATCAATACCTGGGAAATGGTAAATGCGACACGAACTTGGTGAAAAGGCCCAGTGCTTCCCACCCCCGCCCGACTGCCCAATGCAGGCTCAAAGGTGGAAAGGTTTATGGTATGCCTGGCACTTTAGTACGTTTGCTGATGTGCAAGGGTTTATACAAGTCTAATGCCAATACTGCATTAATTGTGTAATAGCGTAGGCTGCTTACTGTAGTTACCCAGTTTTACAAATTTGTTTTTAGGTTAAAAAAATCCTAAACAGGCTAGGGACATGTTGTAGGATAATGTATAGGGAAGCTGGCTCCCTATTCTTGAGGTATGGTTTATATGGTATTTTAAAAGATACGGTGTGTATATTATTTATCACAATGTTGTAATAAATGTTTAAGGCACAGTTATGACAGTTGGTCATGGAACGTGATGTGCATTACTTTTTAAATATTCACTGGTCGTCTTATAACATTGAGTGCCATAAGCTACCTGTCCAGATAGATCTGTAATGTCTCCCCAGTTATAAATTATAGAAAAGACCCTACAATTTTTAATATCCTGCAACCAGTAAACTTGAAGCGCTTTCTCTTTACGTGTACAAACAGTTTATACTCCTGCCATAAAGCTGAGGTAGGTTGCTATATGTGCAGCTTTAAACAATCAGGTTAGTGGGTTTTTTTCCATGTTTGTTTTCAAATGCTTCAGCTCCAGCAAAACATTATGTTCCACCTATGGCTATGGCCTTAGAGCCACTGCCCATGAGCTTGGCAGTGGCTGGCTGGTGGGCTTGGCTTCCTCCAGTTAAAGCAGACAGGTACATAGGTGCACAGAATAAAAAAAATTAAACTGGCCTCTGCAGCTGTGGCTTTTCATGCAAATGTTGTTTTCCGAGATTGAGACTGACTTACTGGTTCAAAAGCCAAATGTAAGTACAGTGCAGGGGGGCTTGGAAAGATAAATGAAACAGGGAAAAAATAAGCTACAGGTTTATTTAATGAAAAAAAAATGCTTTAAAACATTGTTCATTAGGGAAATAGTGATAACTGAACTTTAAACTGCTTTACGGTAATTTTGATTAAAACCTCTCCCAAAGCTACTTGTTGTACTGCTTGAACATTTATGAACTAAATAAAGAGATGTAGGTTTTTTTAAAGGTGTTATTCATTACATTACTAATGTATTGAAAAAACTATGAACAGGAACACCCAGATATATATATAGTAGAAATAGTCATTTATAGAAAATGCCTTATAAAGTACATTGCAGGTACACTGTACTCCTAATAAAATATTTTTTAATCAAGTGTTTTTCTTAGTGTTTTACATGAAAACAAATACTAGTTTCTGTGGCAAACGCTGTTATGTCAGGAAGCAGTTTGTTCTGAAACAGGCACATGTTAAATGGTGTGATGAGCACCTGCTGCATTAGGTCTGATGAGCACAGAGAGCAAGAGTTCCAGCTACAGCTTACTGCAGAGCACCGCTGATGGGGGAGCAGCAGCAGTATTTAAGGATGCTGAAGGTAGGAATATTTTCACTTACTTTATTTCCTGTCTTTATGAGAGTTCAAGCAGCTTGCTCCAGTTCATATTTTTTTTTATTCCCTCCTTCGTTTTATGTATTCCTAGAATCCGTAAGATGGAAAATATTAACTGGGAGACTGTTTGCCCTCTGCTGTTATACGGTCTATTGAATTTGTTACAGCTCTTGATCTGCTTTTTCTTGGCTCAAAATCAAGTCACTAGAATTGCGCTCCCAAGTTTTTCTGGGTGGCAAAGAACCTGTGGAAAGTTGTTCCTTTTCAAGAGTTCTTTTTCAAAAATAGGTATTTGGCTTAAATTTTCAAGTAATAAACCGGTTCTCCCCCTGCCCTCGTTAAAGTGAAACTGGTAAGGGGCTCTAAGATTTTATGTATTGGTTCTTACTCATTTGGTAAAAGGGTTACTTGGCAATTAGTGACAGCAGACAGTGCCAAACCATCCACTGCTGTATAACCTCTGCAAAAGCAATCTGCGTTCGCCATTTACACACCTAAAAATCTGGCTCTTCTCCTGCAAAGCTGAGCAGCGCTGATCTTTAACTCCGTAGCTGTAGACCCAGCACGCGCACACTTGCCTTAACAGAGTCTTCTTGTTCGGGACTACCTCAATTCTAAAATGAAGATCAGGCAAGTAATAGATTCGGGGTTTTTATTAGTTTTCCGTGTGAGCATTACAATTTATAATACATCATATCTAGTTTTACCTCCAGAATGAACCTAATTTAGTACATCATGGTATTAGTAAAAACAAGCCTGCTAAGTGGGCTGAACTTCCGACTAGCATCTTCGTATCCTTCCAGCAAGGCAAGCTAGAATGTCAATCACCTGACAGACATGTAGGTAGTGTTTCCCAAAACCAGCCCAGCCCCAAATTAAACTAGGAAGCGTATACAATCGAAAGCAGGAAAGAGTTGTCTCATTTGGTCGTTCCCCTCCCCCCAGCAGAATTTAATTAACAGCTACGGTTCTGGAACCTCAATTAAAAATCCCGGAGGCCGTTGGGATGGAATCGTAGGTGTGCCGGTCGCCCGTGGTCGCCCGTCTCCGTGTCCGTGTCGGTGCCCGGCGGCCCCTCCTTACCGGTAGCCAGGTCCAGGCTGGGTGTAGCCCTGGGCGCCGAAGGGAGGCCGGCTGCGGGCGTAGGGGTTCGGCCCGCTGGGCGGGGGGGTCATGGTGCTGCCGGGCGGGGGGGTGAAGCCGGGCCGCGGCTGGTAGGTGCCCGGCGCCGCCTGGGAGCCGGGGGGGCCGCTGTAGGGAGCGGGCTGGGAGGCCTGCGTGGTGTAGGGCTGCGGGGGGTAGCTGCCCCCCGGGTACTGCGGGGGCTGCTGCGCCGGCAGCTGC